CCCTCTCCCGCTCACCCTGCTTGTGTTCCCTCTCTTGCTGTGTCTCTCTCTGTCAAATAAATAAAATCTTAAAAAAAAAAATAAAATCTTAAAAAAAAAGACGCCTCCCTCAGGAGTGCCCACCTGGAGAAAGAGAGGGCTATAGATCACGTGGTCAGCTCCTGTCACGAGAGCAGGTGCACAGAGTGTTTTGGAAGCGAGGAGGAGGAGCTCTTGAGTGAAATAATTCCCCATTGAAAGGGCTGTCTGTCATAACCTCTTTGTTTTGCTCTTTAACTGATGATTTTCCTTTACCTTGTTCTTCTTGATTCTCTTCATTCTCGAATTCTTTGGCTGCAAAGACGTCTTTAATGGAAATTAGGTCGTTTTTTAAGAGTTCCAGCTTCTCTCCATCGAGTGATGCTAAAAATGACTGAACCTGAAAAAAGAAATGGGTCAGCAGAACTGTCATCTTTTCCCGTTAATCACGTTTACGTACAGCTGTCGTCAGGGCTCCCAGGACTGAGGTGATTTGGTGGTGTGGGGGGCAAGGCCGGGTTGAACGCTGGGCTTACTGCCTATGAACTGTGCGACTTTGGGTGAGTTACAGAAGCTCCCTGGGCCTGTTTTTTAAATTTTGAAGTGAGACCCACACTTCACTGTGATCCTTTGTGAGGTAAATGAAACAGCAAAGGTGAAGTAACTACCCAGGTGCAAACAGCAGAAGCTAAATAAGTCGTGGTCGTAGCCCTTCTAGCCTCGTGGGCAAAACACGTGTGCTGTCAACTCTGAATTCAAATACGAGCCCCTCACTGATGAATTGTGTGCCCTTGGGAAAATGAGGACGAAAAGCATCTACCGTGTAAGGTTATTTTGAAGGTTCAATTAAATAATATACTTGATACTTGTAGGGGCTCCTGGCCAGCTCAGGCGGAAGAACATGAGATCTCGATCTCAGGGTCGTAAGTTTGAGCCCCATGTCGGGTGTAGAGATTATTAAAAAAATAAACTTAAAAAAATGCTTGTAGTGAAGGTCAAGAAATTACACATATATTACGTATGTTAACATATAGAAGAATATTAATATATATAATACATATACACATAAACCCATAAAGAAATGTTTTATACATACAGATATACGTATATACTTGCTAGATGTGGGTTATTGAACCGGGGCTACAAAAACACACGAGATGCATTTTTCTCCTCCGAGATCTTGCAGGCTAGAGGAGGGAGGCCCAGGTTAACCGCTAACAGCCATGACAGATATGAATAGAGTGGCAGTGGGGTACCAGGGAGGGAACTTCAGTCCCCCTTAGGGAGGCAAGAGGGTGGGCAGGGAGAGTTCACAGAGGATGATGCTTGAACTGATATCCTCCCTGCTCACTGTCTTCAGAACCCCTCTTTTGAAACTGTCCTGTGTAAACATTTGAAAATTATCTGCACACATGGCCAGTCATCCTCTGCGAATCTGAAGACTGATTTGAATTTCCAAAATGGCCAAAGTGCATGGAGAACCATGTAAAAAATGAAGTAGGGGGGAGGTGGGTGGGGGGATGGGGTAGAACTGGGTGATGGGCATTAAGGAGGGCATGTGATGTGATAAGCACTGGGTGTTATACGCAACTGATGAATTACTGACCTACAGCTGAAAACTAATGATGTACTATAGGTTGGCTAATTGAATTAAAAACAAAAATAAAAAAATAAAATATAGGCCGCAAGTAGAGTGCGACATAATGGAAGCTACTCAATCACTATTGTTAAATAAATGAGCGAATGGTTTCTGAAAAAAAAAATGAAGTAAGGGTATAAAGTAGTAAGGTTTTCATGTTTTCATTCTGCAGGTCAAACACTTGCTCTGGAGGGAAAGCCCATAGACGCACCACAATGCCTTTGGAATATGTTTTAATACTCATTATGGTAGTAGATTCACACGCCAGGATAAGTGAGAGAGAGAGCATCAGGGATGACAGGGCACCATTTTCCTAAAAATCGTAATGCATATCACCAGGGCATAATGCAATCGGCAAGGAGGCTGGGGAGAAGCTCAGCAGGAAGCCATCAACACAAAACTCATTAGCTAGAGAGTTCAGCAGGTGGAAGGAAATGCACCCTGCATGATGGCTGCCAGCAGGCCTTTTTGCTCTGACCTTTTCAGAGCCTTTTTTTCAGCTCATACACTCATGAGTAGGCCTCAGGGTCCTAGATAGACCCACGGCAGATTCCTACACTTTAGATATATTTTCCAAACAGCAGTTTTCTAAGAGTAAAATTAAAAGGTAATTATTGAATCCATGGGCTTGAGCACAACACGGGTGAAAATGTATACACAGGTGTGAGACATTATGGCTTCCCCATGGCTCCTGGAGGGTAGCCAGCCTCTGGGAGGGAAGGCACTGGGGTTTTATGCTTTGGGTATCCTTTGGGAAGGGTTCTTTTTAGCAAAGGACTCTATTGTCAGCGTCTTTCTACCACAGTATCTCTTGCTTCCTCCTAGTTCTTTCCATTATGCCAAGGTGATGAGCAATAAATCTTTACTTCAATCCAGTAATAAATAATCATGCACTCCTCAATAAATATTCATAGAATGCTGACTATATGCTTGGCACTGTGCTAAGTGTTGTTGGAAACACAAGGGTAGACAGTCTGCCTTGTCAATCTTTTTCCTGAAAGGGAGTATGGGGTGCCATTTTGAAGATTCTTGTTTACTGTTTTTGTTAGCTATTGAGTATAATAGCAATAGAAATTATCAGGTTTTTTTCTTAAGATTTATAGTATACCACATTGCCATGCCTGTTGCCATCCTAGAATCAATCTAATAGAATAGTCATGATAGTAATTCCTTATATTTCTGTGCAATGTGTCAAAGTTTTAGCCAACGAAATGTCAACAGAGGTGATGTGTATCATTTCTGGGTCAAAGCTCTTAAAAAATGGGAGTGGGGGCACCTGGGTGGTGCATTGGTTGAGCGTCCGATTCTTGGTTTTGGCTTAGGTCATGATCTCAGGGTCATGAGATCGAGCCCCACGACAGGCTCCATGGGTGGGGAGTCTGCTTGGGGTTCTCACTTCCTCTCCCTCTGCCCTTCCTGCTCATGCTCTTTCTCCCTAAAAATAAATAAATATAAATATTTTTTTAAAAATGGGAGTGTACCCTCTACACTCTCTGTCCTTATGCTGTTAGGATAAAGAAGACAAGGAGGCCCTAGAGGATGGTGACAGCCAATACTCAGACCCAGGGGAGTCCACAGGGCCAAAGGGATGTGCCCACACAGAGCCCACACTCCCTCTTCCAGACCACTCTCTAGGTACTAAAGTTACTAAAGTTTCCCTTCCACAGCCTGTATGGATCTCTTCCCAGGCTATGCTCCTTGTGGTGGGACCATCCACCTCTTAGCTGTTTGGAGGGCTGCAGGTGCAGCTTGAACCAGGGCATCCTCACATGTGAACAGAAAGCTTCTTGAAGGGAGAGACAGCTGGAAATAAAGGGACAAGAGCAGGCAGGAGGGTGGTGGGACATGTGAGGGATTTGAGAATTCTGAATGGGAACCTGGTTTTCAAAGTCGTTATGAAAGTGTGTTTGTTGAGGTAGGATGACGGAATATATTTTCTTTAACAGTTTGTTTCAAAAGTCCTTTAACTTTTTTTTTTTGAGATTTTATTTATTTGACAGAGAGCACATGAGCACAAGCAGGGGGAGGGGGAGAGGGAGAAGCAGGCTTCCCGCCAAGCTGGGAGCCCGACATGGGACTCAATCCCAGGACCCCGGGATCATGACCTGAGCTGAAGGCAGAAGTGTAACTGACTGAGCCACCCAAGTGCCCCAAAAGTCCTTTAGCTTTTAAGTATTTGGTATGTGTAGGAGGTCTAGTTAAATTTGAATTCTAAATAAATAATATTTTCTGAGTATGAGGGTATGTCCCAAATATTGCACAGGACATATTTATACTAAAAAAGTATCCATTGTTTATCAAAAGTTGAAGTTTCACTTGTCATCCTGTGTTTTTATTTGCTAAATCTGACAACCCAGTAGGGCTCTCCATTTGTATTCTTGCCAGAGGCCTGTGAGTATCAGGATGGGTCTAGTGGAGCCCCAAGATGGACAGAGTCTGGCCGCTGAATCCCCAAAGCAGGAAAGCTGCCTGATGACCAGGCACTCCCATCTTGGACTATTATAGGCATGAGGACAACTCCTACTGATTTTGACCCATATGTTTTTAGGACTTGTTTATTACAGCACCCAGTAACTATCGATACTAATCCATGAAAACATTCTGCATTCCTTACCATGAATACTACTATAAAAATCTCTGGGGTGGGGGGGGCGGCGCCTGGGTGGCTCAGATGGTTAAGCGTCT